TCCCTCTTAGCGTTGCTATTTGAAGCAGCAGCAGCAAATGAAATTTTGGAGTCAAAAATAACACAAGTTTTAATCTATTCTCAGCAGTAAATTATATCATTAATTCAATGTTTATCAGGGCTATGATTCAATTCAACCTCAGACTCTTTTCTCCCTCTCAAAGTGTCTGACAGCCAGCTCTGGCGCTTGCTTTAGCAGAAATTATTTGGAGGAAGGGACAAACATAAGAAACAACAATGAATCGGTGTGATTTTTCCAGATACAACTCTGGCAGATCCTTACAATGCTGTAATGCATGTTTGAAACAGCATGAACAGATCTGTGCTCTATTTTCATAAATACACCCCATTTATCTTTGAGGAAAAATACTCAACTGCAATAAAAAAAACTGACAGCTGCATTTGTTTAATTTTAAAAAGAGACAGCTGTACTTCTTGTTCAGTGAAGTGTTGCTCATATTCTCCTGATATTGTGCTACAGCCAGAAAACCAAAATCCATAGCACTGTTCTAAATCAAGTCTGCCATTTTAATTATTTGCCACAGAAAATGATGGGAAGTGCAGAAAACAGAAGTGCACTTTGGTAAAGAATTCAAGCTTTGCTTCTCTAGGCTAACATACTCTATCTCTAGGAAACAAACATGTCATTCTGAGTACAGAAGATGCATTCTAGTCTCCAGAGAGAAAGGAAAGCACAAGCGTAGTAAAAATCCTCACAGTGACTGGACATGGGAAAACACTTCTGAAGAAAAAGGGCAAGTATATTTGTGACTGCACTATTCATCACCATATTCCTTTGGAAGATTTTTAATTTTTAGATTTGAATGGAAAACATCTAGTAAAAGGCAGTTTGAAAAAATAAAAATCTTCTGTAGTTAAACTACCTTTGCCTAAACTATCAGCTAACATGATTAGCTCATTTTCTCTTAGGATCTCATCTGGTTTTCCCCTCAGTATTACAGTGATTTTTTGGGACAAGCCACTTTTGCAAAACAGACCCCTGACTGGATTCACCAACCATCTCATCATACATGCAAGTTGAAAAGTATTAATAACCTTTTCTCACCTGTTTTTCAGTTGCCCAAATTAAGAGGAATCAAAATGAGCAAGCAATGTTTATATGAAACCATTCTGGCATGATTTTTACAGAAAGCACAGAAAAGCTAGTAGAAGCAGAAAAAAAGGCAGAATTTGCAGTCAAATGTACATTTTAAAAATGATGTATGTGATAAAATCTAGCTCATCTCTCCTGGCAAAAACACTTTTAAAGCAAGACTCATGGTTCTCCATTTAAACTGCGTGCTGTGGTATATTTTTACATTTTGGTGAGGGCTTAGTTTTTCATGATGAAACGATCACTTCTCTCATTTGTATTATAGGCCAAATCTTCCTCTTTTTAATTTGCAAGAAGCTTGAGTTTAAAAAAAAAAAAATCAGCCCTGGATAAAACTCATAAAAGGTAATACCAAGTGCTCTTCAAGATCCCAGTGGGAAGTGATTTCACTCTCTAGAAACTTGTAATTGTCTTGAACAGAATTCCAGTGACCCTCCCTCCAGCTAAGGCATTTCTATCTCCCTCTTAAGTTAGAGACACAATCAACTACAGTATCCAAAATTATATCCAATTGATATTATTCTCTTGCATTCATTAAAATATACACATGTATTTTTAAAATAAGCTTTACTGGAATCACCCTTTTAAAGAGACAACTTTATTTTCTTTTTGTTTTAAAGAATAAAAAGTTTATTTTATATTTAATTCAAATCCTTTAACTTCAAACCAAATGGAAATGAAAAAACCCCTAGTTTGTACAGAAACTTGGAGTAGAATCAGTTCCTATTCCTCAATGATCAAGAGATTGGCAACAGGGGAAGGAGATCATAGCATCAGACCAGGTAACACAAATGTCATCCATCAGGACTACAGCCCCAAAGGAAGAGAGACAATCACACCCTTGCACTGAAAGAGTAATAGTGGCAGATACCAATTTGTAAGGAGTAGGTCAAGGAGCATTAGCCAGGCAAGTTAAGTGACAACTCCACTGCCAAAGTATTAGACCACACCTTGGGTATGGGACAGAACCTCCTAAAAGGGGCATAACCCAGCATGACTTGCTATTTTTGTTTGTCTAAAATAACCCTAGAACATAAGTTCCTGTCTTCACATTTTGGGATGAGGAATACTTTTTTATCTTGGAGAAAGTTATTACTGAATTTCCATGACATGAGGGGAGAGTTGGAAAATAAATGGATGGAAATGTTTTTGTTACTCTTTATCACAGCTGGAGATCAGGAGACAGGCCCTGCATATGATCAAGTGACAGCAAGAGAAATTTCTTGAAATACAAGAAATTCCATTTAAACGTAAAGAAAAACTCTCTTACTGTGAGGGTTATCAAACACTGGAACAGGTTGCCCAAAGAGGTGGTTGAGTCTCCATGCTTGGCCATATTCAAAACCCGATTGCACATGGTCCCAAGCAACCTGCTCTAGTTGACCCTGCTTTGAGCAGTGAAGTTGGACTAGATGTTCAGAGTTCCCTTCCAACCACAGCCTATGCTATAGTAATTTTGATTTTCATGTTTTTGAAATACATTCTAAAGCTTTACTTTTCATATCTCTAGAATAAAAGCAGCTTCCGTTTGTCCATGAGAAGCTTCTTGAACTATGAATGCCTCAATCCAAGTATCTTTGGCTTGTGCCTTCTTCAGTGGATAGAGCTGTAAAATAACCTATTTTGCAGATTTTCCAGACACTGCACTTCAACACAAATAATATACCTATTGCAGCTCTTATTTCAGGCTCAGTGAAAAAGACTGCGTTGTGTGTGTGTGTGTGTGTGTGTGCACGCCGTATTTTTAAGTCAAGGACCTAGTAATCAACTGTACGGCACGATAAAACAAAAGGAGCATCTCAAAATCTTTGCAGACTGACGAAATAATATTGAGTCCAGTCCTTCTAAGCTATGTGACTGCTGAAGGAGCCAGACTGCAAAGTGGAAAATAAGATCAGAGCCAACCAAGGAGGAAGCCAACTAAGACTGGCTACTTTCCACCACCAAATGTCAGGTGAGAGCTAGAGGGATACATTTTAATAGATTCTCATTCAAAATCAAGTGACAATTATTCCTGGTAAACTGGTACCTATAATCAAAGGAGCAGACATATGGTTGCTTTTCTGATGAATGCCCTGACAGGAGGGTTGGGAAAGCCCTATCTGCCAAAGACACACAAGTGTAATTTATATGGTGTTTAATATTGCCTAGCAGTCCCAGTGAGAAACTGAAGTGCAATTACTCTAGGTGTTTTCTAGAGAGGATATTTGCCTCAGGAAGGGGTTTCCAAAGGTCTATCTCAATTTGGCTCTGGCTGCAACTGAAATTTATCTCTGCATGGAACCAGAGTCACATGCCCCAGATGAACTAGTGACGTGTTACAGAAAACGAAGTCTGCTGAGTTGACAAAAACTATGTGAGTTTCCAAGGCTGATGGAGTCTTTTCAGAGTTCAGGCTAATAACTGAGACACACAAAAGCCAAAGAAATTACACAGGAGAACATGAAATTATTTTCTAGAACTAGGAGCATGACATTTTTTTGTTTTGTGGGAGGAGGCAAAGGAAACAGGTTGAAAGATACTGAAAGCACAGAACAGAAGTCTATCACAACCAGTTTATTCTTTTCTCAATGTGTCACACTTCTTAATCATTACTTAGAAATAATCATGCTAGCATAACTGTGCTAAAAACACTCTACAGGTAGAAAATGAGATATGGAAGAAAGCAATTTACGAACAAATTAACATTAAATGAAATGCTGAAACTAACACAGGCAGTAAAAGCACTCTTAAAAGTTAACAAACAAATACCAGATTTTAGAGAAATACTGACTTGGTACAATTTTTAAATCAAACTTTAAAAGGTATTTGATGTGTATAGATAGATCATACGCATGCTAGCATTGCATTCGATCCCCTTAAGATATAAAATTAAAAAGTGCCAGTCTTCTCCATCAGATGAAAGTATATGGAAATTATGTTCAGAAGTAGACATTTAAATAAATATACATCACAAATTAGGATAAATTGACTTCATGCTTATAGGTAGAATATCTAGTTGACATTCGTGACCCTAAGTTGCTTTTTATTAGAAAATTATGATTTTGCAATTGAATCAGACTGCTAAAACTATCTTGTAAAATCACCAGAACACTAAAAAAATGCAAAAGCTAGTCCTTAAATTATGAATTTAATTTTAGGCAAGACATAGGTTTTAATGTCTAAACTTAAACAGTATGTAAAGCCAATTATAAAATTTTAGCAAAGAATAAGATTCAGCATTGAAAGCACTGAAGGGATGAAACTGAGGTTTATTCAGGATGCCCTCAACCATTGAGAAAGATCTGACAAGACTGAATGTTCTTTCTTGTACTGGAGCCTGAAAGATTCCACCCACCACCACTAAACTGTTCAGCAAATAGCTATCACTGAACAGACTTCAAGTTACTCTTTCATTAGTACTGAGTTATGTGGCATGCAGGAGTAAGATAAGAACTTGAAGGACCTATTTCATTGATCTATACTATTCTCAGTATAGCTAGGGATACCTACAATGTGTATATTTTCAATGAACATCAATCATTAGCTTGTGAAAGCCAACCAATTATTCTGCACAGCTTTTATGTGTCTTTGGTACTCAGATCATTGTCAGTTTAGCACCTTCTTTAGTCCAGGCTTTATTTAGAGTGACAAACGGCAGCATATTACTATTTAGGGAATAAATTTGTACTGAATAATAAGATTTCAAAGTGTTTCTTTTCTTTCTTTTTAATCTCTCTGGCAGGTTAAAAATCAAAGGCTACAAGTTCACACCTTAGAGTTATCCCACTCTGCGTTGTATGTTCATGCTCTGCTGATATTCTGTGCAACCCCACTCACCCTCAGTTTAGCTTCATTAAAAAAGCTTCACCCCAGTACCCAGACACCCAGATGACAGAGTTACTTACCAATAGCCTGAGCAAGGGCTATTACAACTTCCTGGCATGTTGTGACTTCGGTGACCCCACACACAATTCTCTGGACTCCATCCACCCATACTTTGAGCTCCATGGTTCACCAGATCATCCAAGATCCATGAATGCAAATCAGTCAAGTCATACTTGCAGCTATACCAGAGATAATGCAGCAGACATCTCTCAGCAGCTAGAAGAGAGAAAAATCCTGGTGTTTATAGTGAGACATTACCAGTTAAAAAGTTAACAAATTCACCTTAACATCTATTGTGTCGAACAGACAATACAGCCTCCTTTCTTTAAAAATAACAACAGGAATCAAACATCCCACGCTTTATCTATGTCTACCCATTCTGCAGACATACCAGAAGTTTCATTACAGTTTATTTCCTAAAATACTGAAAGTTATTACAAAAAGAGCACCAAGAGCAATAGCATTAAACAAACAACTCCTGAGTAAACTCATAACAATTTCCAGTAACAGGTGCCCCTCTTCCTTTATACACTGCCTGGATGTCTCAAGGGACTGCTTACAGATGCTTACAGTGTTTGTTCAATAATTCCTAGCAGGTGGTGGCATAGCAAAACAAGGGGGAAACATTTTTAATTACAGACATCCGTGGGAGTCCAACCTTGCTGTCCATAAAGAAGCAGCTGAAGGTTCCTACTTCCAACAAACCTGTGCACTTAGTACCAACGCTGGAAAACCCAGAAAAGAAAGCAAGCAGACAGGTTGCTTCTCTCTCTCTAAAACAAGGAGATGCATCAGGGAAAGTACTGTAGAGGTGATTTAACCCCTGCCAACACAGTGCTGGTTCTGTAAGGAAACAGACTTTGGCTGATGTGTTATCGCAGGTTTTTCCATGGGCACTGCAAAAAAAGTAAGCCATACCAACTAGTCTAGTCAGTTCTTGCTTTTGAGCATGGTTCTACTGCCTGCGCTGAAATAACACCAAAGTCATACCAGCTAATACAGTATACTAGCTCCCCATTAAATTTTTAAAAAGAAAATTCCCCAAGTTTGTAAACGAAAAAAATGGTCAGAGGGTTGCTTATTTCTGAAACAAAGAAATCCCACAAGCTCAAAAATCTCTTTCTGCACTCAAATGACAGAAAAAATTTGAAGCACAGAAATAAAGTTAGAAACCTAGGGAGCTAGATTAGGACTCAGCAATCGGCCATTTGCCCTCTGCTGTCTTGATACCAACAGTCATGCTGTTCAAGGTTTATCTAATGTTAACTTCCAGATTAATTACTGATCTGAACTCTAGTGGTTTTTTCCAGGGGCTGCTTTTCTTCCGTATAAACAGATACACTGGCATTACAGCTCACAAAAGTTAATTTCTAACTGGAACTGCCGAGATGCTGAATTTTAAAAATTGCAAAGTAAATTCCAAGAAGACTTGTTGTCTTAAAAACATAAAACCTCTCCCCAAAACTGAAACAAAAACCAAACCACCAATAATGATGATTATTCTTTTTAAAACAAAAACAAACAAAAAAACCCTAATGAAATAGCTAGGTTATTTAAGCAGATAAAAGAAAAATAAACCATGATAATACAACAGAAGAAGCTCATGTATTCAGGTAATCCTGATCACTATGGATAAAGCAATAAGACTAAAGACAATGTCTGTCAAGAATTCAGTACCAGGAAAATGGATAACAGAGGAACAGAGTAAAAGAAATCTGAAAGTTATTTAGAGAAGATTAGTGAAGAGAAGCAGGGTAGCATTACACAAGAAACATGGAATCTGATGAGGCTGATGGATTTAACAGAACTGCACGTGGAGGCAGAAATGGTGTGGGAAAAACTAAGCAAATAGTACAGTTCATGTTTACAGTCTAATCAGAGCTGCTTTCTCCTGGTAAAGTGAACATCTCTTTCTGTATCAAAAAGATGTACTAGTGCAGCCCTCAAGCTAGAGTGGAAAGACAACTTCCCTTCTACAACCAACCACTTTATTCAGCAGCAGACAAATATCGACACACGATCCAGGAGACACACTGCTCTTCACCTGCCGCGCCGTGCCCGGCAGCAGCAGCACACCGCAAAGCCCTTACAGCCAGAGGGGTCACATCGCACTGACAGGACGAGCCGTAGTGGAGGAGCCCTGCGCAAGTCTGCTGCAAATTCAGTCCAGCACATACACACCAGAATCCCTGTCCAAACAGGGGATGTTTAGAAAACAAAAGAAACGTAAGTGAGTCCACATGTTTAAGTAAAATCAGATTTCAATTATGCTTGTATAAATAATCGACAAAAAAGGGATAGCTTTTAAGAATACCCATGTATACAGAAATAGTCTTTTGAGACATGAGTGAGCACCTGAAAACCCAAAGAGGTCAAAGAGTTTTAATAAACATTTTCCCACATAAAGTTATATACTTCAAAGAAAACTACTATCCGCACAAGCATTAACAGTGTACAAATACAGAAACACTTCAGTTGAGTAACACCATTTTAATATACCAATGAACTAATCAGAAAAAAGTATTTTACTAGCCTGTAATATAACAGTGACTGAGAAAATACCTAAGAGGCCTCATCAGTGACCTCCACTGTTTATTCCTGGACTAGCTGTCTTCACAAATAAACAGACCTTGCATTCCAAGCCCAACTGTAAGGAATTTTATTAATTAACTTAATATCTTGCTGAGAGTTGAACAGTTCAGATTTACTGGCACAAACCAAGTCACCTCTCTGTGTGACAATGCACACGTCAGCAAAGCATCTGACAGCTCTAATTGTTTTTCTGTCTGTCAACATCCAAAGAATTATCTCAATTTAGCAAGCCAGCAAGTGCATTTTTTCCCCCCAGTCAGCACACAATGTACAGTCTTGCGTTCAGTGCAGATCAGTTTTGGTCATCTGTTTTCCTACTGTCCATCTTTAAAAAAAGACTAAAGAGAAACATCATTTAATAATGAAATATTTGCTGACACTTCTGATTTTGAAAACAACATTCACTAAAGTGGCAAATGACCCGAACAAAGTGTCTTTGAAACACTCCAAGCTTAGGGGAAATATTCCCATTAATTTCTTACATGGCAAATAGTTTTAACAGACTAAATAGTGATAGCGAACCAATAAAAGCAGCCTGAGGTACATACTTCCATCAGACCAATGTGCAGGGCTGAACTAAAGGACTGCCTGCCCCATAAGCACTAATGGGATTCTTTCAGGGACCTATCACTAAAAACAGAACAAAGACATCAGAAATGTAGTAACTATGTGCTAAAATCACTGTGTCTCATTACTATTTCTGAGCAAAGCTAATATATATTAAGTAAAAAAAAAAAAAAAAAAATCTATGATTGGTTTATTTTCTAGGATTGTGCAAGTAGAAGTTTACAGAGAGGTCTGAAAACTGAAAAACAGAAAATCTTTTGGCCATATGTCTATCTCTGCTTCCCAATTATAACTATATAACATCTTATTAGCATTTCGTTTTCCTTCGCATGTATTCAGTTCTTTATTTGCTGACAGTTAACTCCTGTATCATTAATAGCTTCTTTGCCTTTCCACTGTGGACTATTCTGACAGCCCCAAACGCACTTTTCAACCTGAAATTTGTGTCCAGAATGTATATTCTACTTTTGCAATAGAGAAGGCAAAAATAACCCTTACCTCCAATACTGTACAAATTTCTATCTGAAGCCAATGGAGAGGGTTGGGGGGGAAAAAGCTCACTTGAGGTTTAACAATCCTGTAAGTTCAAAACCAGTTCACCTTATGCATAACTACTTATTTTAGCAACACTGGGAATAGGAATGCAAAGCTAATTTACTAAGCAGAGGCACACAAGCCAAAGCAAGTCTCTGATCACAGCTTCCCCCCCGGTTTTTCTGTGATCAGCTCCATAGCGACAGTTATTTCTGACTGGAACCAAGCATCAGACATCTGACATTCCCCAGCTACCTCCTCCCCCCACCTCTCTCCCCTGTGCTTTTTCTTCTCCAATACCTTGCCTGAAGCCTCCTCAAGTACCTTGTTTGCCATGCAAGCAAATTTTCTCTAAATTCTCCTTTTATCCTAATTGGCTGATGATACCTTAGTCTTTCAGATATCTGTTCAGTTTTTAAGCGTAAAGAAAAATCCAGCATACATATATACACATGCTACTATTTCGCTACCTCTTCACAGCTAGTTTACAAACCACAAAAAGGCTATAACTTCACAGAAAACAAGCAGAGCTGACAAAGTGCAAAGGGCTTTTCTTATATTTAAGAAAAAAAAGATATTCCAAGCAGATGTTTGCAAAAATCTATCTATCCTTGAGATAAGTGTTAAGTCACAAGAAACCCTGAGAGCTAAAATTAAGATGTTGATTTCACCTTGTTTCTACTCTTTAGAAGGTTTACATCACCTGAAAGCAGTGTGTACCTCAAATCAGGGCTAAAATCCTGCTGCAGCTGGAGCAAACTGCAAAATTTTGACTAACCACTTCAGTAACTTTCTGCTTTCCCAACAAATACCCAGCATGCTGTTTAGTATACTAAAAAGTAAACACACTTTCATTCATAATTAGCTATCTCTGTACGCTGCGGACAAGCTGTGCTCCTTGCCTTTCCCTGTTATGACACCAGAGAGGGCTCTGGACAAAGAGTCAATTTGTTCCACCCAGGTTGGAAGCTGTTAATAAGAACAGTTAGTGCAAGCAACGCCTGATTGATAAAGGAAAAACCAAACCAAACCAAACCTGCATAACAAATAAGCCAGTTGAGTTACCTAGAAAGAGTTTATAAACCATCCAGAAGAGCAAGACAGTACCCCCTGTGAACAGGGAGGCATTTGGCAGATCCTCCCTACCATAAGAATCCTGGTATAGAGCAAAGTAACTTTTTCTGGATAAAGATGACTGCAAATACAGAATTGGCTACTGGAAACAAGCTAACTAGAATTTACCAAAAAGTCTCCTCTCTTGGACTGATGACTGAGAAATATACAATATACACTGCTTCCCATCAATGAATGGGCAAAAAACCTCTATGGGAGGTTCAAGTCAAAACATCATCTTCTAGACACAAAATTTTATTAGCAACAAACAGGTTGTGGTTTTGAAATCAGTGTATGGCTTGCTTTGAAAAAGTTTTTCTACAGAGGTAGCATCCAACTTTTTTAGTGGGATTAAGTGATTTCCTCTTGTGAAGTGTTATTCTTTTGCTATTCCAGAAGAATGCTCAGAG